CCTTCCACCGACCACCCGCCACCCCTTCGTCCATCTCTCGTCCTTACTTTCATAGAGACCTTGTGTTTCTTGCTGTTCTCACTCTCTCCCGTTCTCCCTGTCTACCCCGTGTCTACTTATGGTTCCTTCTCTGCCCGAGGGACACGTCCTTCTCGTTCTACCGGCCCGGCTCCGCGATTATTCCAAACTCATTTTAACTCATTACCCGGGTCCGCCGCTGCAGAATGGCGCGTCGACAAGTGCGCCGTACGTGAGCATGTCGGCGATACGATGCTCGAAAAGCCGGAATATAAATATGAAAATTCGCACGAGGGGCATCTCCCTCGCGTTCGTTCGTGACCGCTCTTGTATTCCATACACCTTCATATGTGCGTATATACGACGATTCCGTTAAAATTTATTACCGTCATGATAAATTCTTGTTGAATGCGTGCCATAATTTTCGAGCCGTTACGAATCCGTATATTGAATGGAAAAATATGAGCTATTGAAGAACGATTATCCAGGATTAAACAATATATCCCAAATGGAAAAAGATAAACTGTGAAGGATATTCACGATTGAATATATCCAGGAATTGTAATTAATCTCTATTTTTGTTCACTGAGGACGTAGTTATTATTGAAGTATTAGTTGGTTTGCTTGCGTGACGCGAAACGATGTTATTTCGTAATCGTTTAGGCGTGCAAGTTTAAAATTCGATAGAATGATCGTTGTTGAAGAAAACTTTTTTGGCAAGAAGATTACGCGATCAGCTAAAGCGGGCATTCAATTTCGAGTTCTTCCCAACTCCATTAACTACTTCTCCAAGAGGATACTCCGGCAAGCAGCGATCTCTCCTACGGTCATGGGAGTAATTCCTCTCCGACTTTGACCGGTGTGTACATGGTGGACGGGATAAGTTTCGAGCTGATCATTAGGTAAGTTTAGAAAAAGGGCCACTCCGAGGTTTCATTAGGAAATGGATGAAACAGTGGATATACGAGGATTCGAAAGGAGGCGGTTCTGTAATAGCAGGAAAGGGGAAAGCTTTGAAGCTCGCGATGACTCGAACTGATAATCCATTAGGATCCGTCTACTTAGAGTATAACATCTATTTGAATGCAAATCAATAGGGAATGGGAAAGGACGGTAGTCAGTAATTGGTCCGGCTTTATTGGAGCTCTCAGTGTCTCAAAGAGCATCTCGTTCGGTCATCTCCTCTCTTCAAGCTCCGCTTCAACGTCTCCTGCTTGTCTCTTCTTCCTTCCCGTTCGTTTCTATCCCTCTGTCTCACGATCTCTTTCCGTATGCTTCTCTAGAATTGCTCTTCCTCTCTCTCTCTCTCTCTCTCTCTCTCTCTCGTTGCCCTTACAAATCTCTGTTACTTCCGTTATGTACGCACGCTCGTCGTCGAGTTACAGAATGTAACTCTCGATGGTAATTAACCGAGATTCTCTTTAGCCAGTTTTACTAAAGCATTCAGTGTCTAAACTTATTCCAACAATTGCGAATTGCTACAGAATAACTTGTTATTAAATATATTGTTTTTATTAATGCGGATTTAATTTAAAGTTTCAATAGGAAAAGCGCTGAATAGAATATCATGTTCTAAATGTTCACTGTTTTTATCATTAATTCTGACAACTTTAAACCAGACCTCTTTAAAATTTATTTCAAATGAAGTAAAAACAGAATTTCGTCTCATCATTAAATATTTGATATTTAAAACATCATAACATTTAATATTGAGAACATTAGTGTCACGTTTGGCGCCGTTTAAATATCATCCGAAGCTCGTTAATGGATTATTTCTATCTAGAAAAGTAAAAGCATCCCTCGATTTTCTCAAACTTTCTAGAACATTTTAAGGCGCGACACGCTAATGCCCGATGTGTAACGCTTTTTACAATTTCGACAAATCGGACAAAGAGTAAACTAATGAGAAAGGCATTGAAGCGTCACAGTGTTCCCGTTCTCCTATAATATAGTTTGCGACAACTCTCTCTCTCTCTCTCTCTCTCTTCTTCTTCTTCCTAGACAGGTGCAGAGCGATTCATTCCCCGTCGTTGCGTGAGTGCTAACAGCATGGCGAGAGATGAAATTAATTCCAGCCACGTTCGAGCCACTCAATGGCTTCTTACTTTCCGTCGTCTTACGGTCGCGCACAAGTATCGCGAGTTCACGTTCGGTAATGGCTTGTAAGAGGAAACGCCGAAGATTTATAGGTTGCCACAACGAAAATGTGTGCGAGTCAACAATACGCTGATACAATATACACCGAGGGGATGACGGCGGCGACGCGACGAGATGGTGGCTGCCGGTATACATGACCTCCGACAAAAACGCGTACATACAATCGGACTGCGAATGGGAGTTTCTTTTCGCGCAACCACCATGATTAACGATTGAACGCACTCGACTTCCGATCCAAGACACTTCGACATTCCGCGGTGAAGAACGGTTGCCCTCGCTGCCACTCGCGTTCTCTCCTCGATCGCACGTTCGATTTTTACTTCCTTTCTCCGTGCTACCCTGCCCGCATCCGAAACGTTTCGCGCCTTCATTGATATATCGCGAGCCATCCATTTCCTGTTTCCGAACAGCGCTCCATTTTTCTGCTTGCGAAACCGAGGAGAGAGAAAAATCAATGCGACTTCTCGGAACGGCGTCCGTAATGTTTGTACTGTACAAATATTATTTAAACGTGTACCACAAATTTCCTTTCCTTGATTTTCCATTTATACTATTCATCCTATTTAGAATATTCATGAAAGTGTTGCACATTAAAATATTTAATTCAAATACTTGTAAAGCGCAAATAGAATTACTGCGCAAAGATATATATTCAGATTTATAATGTCAATGAATGATACATAATTATAGTTAATTATTTTTATGGAAAAATATAATTTATACTAATGATGAAGATAGATTAGTAGAAGACTGATGAAATCGTACATTATTATGAAAGCTAATTGAAAAATTAATATTAGTAACACAATACATTTATCGATTTTAATCAACGATATTCTCATTATAATTTCTTTTTGAAGCAAGCAACAAGATAGACTTATTTACACGATGCTTTTAGTAATTAGTAATTAACGTGCTAGTCTTCTAGCAAATTAGCAGCTCAAAATAATATTGTTCCTTTTTACTACAACTAAAAAAATTAAATTTTTCAAAAGAGGAGAGAAGTATTCTTCAACTTAACAAAAAAATTAAATAATATCGGTAAAAATATGTACTTATAAAAATATGATTAAATGTTTAGAATTTTAATTTCATAACGCTTAAAAACCACGCTTTTTCAGTTGTGATGACTCTACAAAGTTATAACAAATCCAAAATAATTCGTCACAAATGACATAACTCGAAATAGCAACGGTGCATATACATATTGATTTTAACAGCTAAAATTATTAAATTCAAAATAAAACAATTTTCTTCAACTTTGATTATCAAAACTGTCTTATAATTCTAAATTCCCTTCTTTTTATTCACAAAAACGATAATTCAAAATGTGTCACTTGTAGAATCTATTATATTATGATCTCTCTGAAAACCCTAAGAATGATATACTGTGAGAGCAAAAAGTATTCGTACGAGGAAATTTTTTATAAAAAAAGTCTTATTTATAGAAAATAAACATTAACTAACAATTTTATACAATACATTCTGTTCTAATATAAGGAAACGAGCATGTACTCTTGATTTTAGAAGCTAAATTTCTCGACTGTACGAATACTTTTTGAGCATCCAAACAATACAATTTTTAATTTTCGCTTATTTTTTTAGATGATATGTTTTCTATAATTAATTCAGCAAGCAAATTCGGTCACTACACTAGATTAGTGCATACTAAAAGCTACTTTTCATATAAATATTTTAAACTACTAACTATCTGTTAATGATATTGTCACGTTATTTAACAAAATAAATATATATATATATATATATATATATATATATATCATTTTATTGTCAAAGTTGATTATATTATATCACTGCATTGAGATAGTTTATATGAAGCAGTTTTTAATATGCACTGATCCCAATGTAGTGCGAGTGATTGAATTTTAAGAAACATACAGTCTATTTTACTCTTTATGAATAAATTGTTAATTACCCAAGAAGAAATGATCGTCGATTAAATGTCGAATCGACGTCAATTCGATGACTCATTTCTCGGTGTAGGATAATATTCACTTTTTAAAAAATTAAAGTTTTTTAAAAATATATTTTCTCTATACGAATACTTTTTGCACTCACTGTAGGTGTTATTTAATGAATGGATTGTGAAGTTAAATTAGTTTATTTTTGATGATTATTGAAAGATAATGATTACTTACTTATTTTGAGTTAAAAGCACTATTAATCACTACGCAAACAATATAGTTATGTACAAAGTATATTTGATAAACGTTAAAAATCGTGTAATAAACGTATAAACTGGAAAATAAACGTTTAAATTTTGGATATGTTTTTTTAAACGTTTTAATAAACGTTATAGAAATGTTTATAAGACGTTTGTAATGTTTATTAGGCATTTTTTTACTAGTTTAAAATACAATTCTCAAACAAGAATTTTCGACGTTTTGATGAACGAATATTTCATATTAATAACGTCTATTTAATGATTTTTTTATACAGTGTAAAAACATTTCGGCTATATGGTCTTCAAACCTATATTGTCTACTTGGATATCTTCCAGTATTAAATTTTTGAAAATAATTTTCTACTTCGGTTAGAAAAACAGCACGCTACAGTTGTTAAAAAAGCATCGTGCAAATCAGATCTAATAATTATTACCTCACGTGATGATACGATCAAAGAAATGAAACAGCAAAATGTGCGAGTAGTCCATCCATCGAAATTAATGTGGTGTGCAAGAAATAAACCATTCCGTATATACGTTTACTTTTCAGCGCTTTGAATATTTCGTGGCGGTTACGAGATAATAACAAAAAAACGTCGTTCGGTCGGCAGTTAGTTTTTTTACCAGGAACGCGCGCCTATTGTGTTTACCGGCGGTGACCGCGGCACGCGGGCGCCGTGCCGGGCGTGCTGCGTAGTTGTGTTATTCTTTCGGCAACGCTCGAACGCGCTGGCAGGCACGGCACAAAGCGCCCGGTATAGTACGTTGTTACATTATTATCCCTCGAGACGCGATAGCGAGTGCTTAGAAGAATGAGCGATCATTCTGTACGAACGATTAGTGATTCACGAATCCGTGTGATTACTTAACTCCCGCGATTAACGATTCATAAGTGTGTCAAACCGACGGCTATTTATCGGGACATATATTTCGCATGATTCATTAATTTGAAGTAGATATCGTAATTCAAGTAATGGTAAACCGTGATACATCGATCATTTATTAACAGTATGTATATTTCGCAGAATTCGCGTTCGTCAAATATATTTTAGGAATCAAATGGTATCGCATTGCCTTAACTGATCAATAAATCGTGATTAATCCGCAATTATCTCTAATTATAATACATACATTTATTCATCTCTGTCAATCTGGCCCCACTTTTTCACGTATGTCATATAATACACAAAATAACAAAACAAAATCGTAACTCATTCTTCGAAGTACGAGAGTGTATAAAGGTGCAGTTAGGAGCAACAGGTGTAGCATCGCCGTGTAGCAACGATTCTTGAAATGCATGAAGTTGATCGCAGATTTCCGTTGCCCTTAGTTACGCGAACAACAAGGATAAAATAAGTGTATTCGCGTTGCTTGTATTCTTTGCACTCAGCATCTTCGCTTTCTCTTTCTTCAACGTTCGAATATATATATATATATATATCCTAAGTGCAAATTTTTTAGAATTTCGAGCAATGCGAACAAATCTAAATGACACATCATGCGCTTATGCGCGAAACAGAACACACCCTGAAGTTGATTTGAACGGTTCGAGTCGTATAATCGCGCTCTTTTCGCTTATTCCGTCTTCCCTTGTAATATGCTACGCATTGCATTTGATTAACATCGTCGTGTCTCAGAAGTACCGTGCCAACTGTCGAGTGTCGCGCGAATATCGTATTTTGGTAATCGGTGTGTACGCGAGCGTATGTTTTCTGAGTGTAGTGTGTGAGTGCCATGAAGAAGCCAACGGACAACGCGAAAATAAGAGAGGAGGGAGCCCGGGGAGGCATCGTGCATCAGGCAGAATAATCTCTGGGTGAGTAATTTATTATTTAATTGTTATATTTGTTACTGCGACATTAATCGTTCGTTCTTGATAAAATCATATACGTTGTACTTCTTGTCTTGCTTCTCACAGATGCATGCATGTCTAAAAGACGTCATAAAGACATCATAATGACGTTTATGACGTCTTTTAGGACATACACATTTAAAAGATGTTAAAAACGTCGTAAAGCATTTTCTGAACAATTGTTTAAGTTCTTTTTTTGTGTACATTTTTCATATAAAGGATTCTCTCTCTCTCTCTCTCTCTCTCTCTCTCTCTCTCTCTCTCTCTCAAAATATTTAACCAAATATTGATAATATTATATTTCTGAATGTATGAATATTATATTCATTATGCATATAATGATATACAATGATGAATGTATGAATATAATATTTTCAAACTGTATTAGACTTATATCATTAGGATTATTTTATCATAAATATTAAACTTTCATTTTTATCAGATTTACAAAAATTGTTATACTTAATGAAAGGACTTTTCTCGGAAATTATATGATTATTTTATAAAATATCTATTTAAAAGGGAAGGACGAAAAATTTAATGTATGCAAGATAATTTTTAGAAATATTCATTATTTCTAAAGGAGTCTATAATATGGATATACTTTTATTTTACAGATTACGGTTACAATTCTGCCTTTGCACATTATGTGAATTGGTGAGTCAAATTATTTTTTATTTCATTATAAGAGGTAATGATCTATGGGAAGTGTCTCTTAATAATTATTGCATGTATTTATACATTATTCCTCTGTTTATGAACAGAGAAATGTGTGAATATGAACTAAAAAAAAATATTAAAAGTATAATATAGAAATAGTGAAGATTATTGTAAATATTTCCAAAATTACTTCTAAAGAAAGTTAGATGGAGATATAGTGAGAAATATAATAGATGTAATATTTTATTATATGTAGGGGGGGGAGGGTATATATCATTAGTAAATAATCTAGAGCTTTTATAGCACAACAAATAAATATTAATATTTTTCATGCAAATCAAAAATTAAAAATAATTTTTATATAATAATTTGTTTCTCCTTGTCAAAATTTAGGGACGAAGGCAAAGGTAATCCCCTCTTCTTGAGTATGCTCATGTCTGAAGGTATTTCATAGAATTATTAATGACTAAAAATATTATCCCTTGCAATAGCGATGTCGACTAATGTAAGTTCAAGTATTTGCACTTTGCAGAGTTCGAATTTATGTACTAGTACGTTAATTAAATCATCCTTTTAAATGAGTCTATACGATTAAATAAAATTACCACTACCGCATCGACAATTGCTTGCTGCAGGACATTTATAGCTAATGATAAAAAAAGTTACCTAACAAGTTCGTTTTTATAAATCCGACGATCAATGTCGCGCAAGATAAAACGAGTGTAATATTGAGAAAAAACTTTATATAGCGAATGTTTTCCAATGAATTCTAGAATGTTAACTCATTCGACGAGATGAAAATCGATTGGACCACGAGCCATTCGCACGCTGATTATGCCAATCGATCGCAACGGATTTTGTCGAATTCGTTATTTATGCAAATTACATTTATTTCACTTAATCCCGCAGCAAGTTAATTAAGCTCATTCGGATGTACGTATTCATGGTTTATCACCCCTAGCATTACTTTCGTAAATAGCTTCAATATAAAGTATCAGCAAGACAACCACTTTGATTTAATATAAAATTTCACAACAAAATGAGGAACTAATAGAAACTTAAGCACTTTTTATAATACACACAGTATGCTTATATTAATTTCTGATACCATTGCGATAACCTTCAGATATGAACATATTCACACACACAAGAAGAGGGGATTACCTTTGCCTTCACTCCTAAATTTTGACAAGGAGAAACAAATTATTATATAAAAATTATTTTTATAGAAGAGCCAAACGTTCATTGCTCGATTAAGTAGCTCATGCGTTGTTCCTAAGAAAATTCGGTTAAGATCTTCGAAGGCTGACTTTAATATAAGTATTTTAATAAGTTTTGTGTGAAGATAAACTTTTCTCGATTAAAATTTTATAGAGAATTCTATTGAATGCACTCAAGCTGAGACATAGCATTGTTCAAATGATTTAATTTCATGATACTCTCTTCTTTCTTTCGTTTTTTATTTAATAAAAGTGTACAATTCGATGCAAGATAGAATTATCTGCATTATTATTGCGTAAGAAATGATATCTCCAATCGATGCTAGTATCATTGGGTATTATCTATCTGGCTTGAGTCGCAAAATCGCACTCTTACTTGGTCCAGTTTATCACTTATATGTTTTACTCAACGAAATGTGGTACCGTGCATATAATTTGACAAACACCATCACTCGGCACATGCATTCGCCGCTAGTGTCACGAAATATCTACCTTGCGCCAAGCAGCGTCCGTTCTCGTGCAACCCGACATATATCACTCCCAGTTTCCACAGTCTTCGAGCTGATCCCCGCAGAAAGAATGAACGGGAAACGAAACATCCGATAAACAACGACGCGTTATACCCCGCTGTCGAGGTTATCTATCCGTCTGCACTTTGCCGACTCACGGATTTCTTCTCACCGCGTATATTTACAATCGAATCGCAACGTCAAAGTGAAAGTTCAATCGTACCGCGGCGTGCTATTCTTTTTCCGATTGTCTCGTCATCGCGAAACGGAGCACAGTGCAGACACACGCAGAAAGACAAAGAGATAGATAGAACGTATGCTGTTCTAAACAGTTGTAAGGCAAGGCCTCTTTAGGAGCACATATGATATAGAAATTAGAGAAATAAAAGCGTCAAGTGATATAAGATTATGGGAAAAATTGGATAGTTCAGCAAAGCTATAACTGTACGAGTTTAACATCTATAACTGAGAAAATTTAATAGTTCAGAGAATAGTTCAAAGATATTTTTTTTCTTCACTACAATAAACAAAATTGCTAATTGTTTTCATCAATAAATTTTCTTCATTGTAGTAACAAAAGTACACACATCACCTTAGCATGTTTTGTTCTGTGTATTGGAAAAATTTTGATTTACATATATATTGGACCGATTTTTATAAAAAGTTGTCTTTGCTATATTAATAAATTTGCTGTGCTATTACAATGCTAATTTTATCCAGTTGTACAACTTTGCTATCTTAGCATATACGAAAAAGAAATCTTATATTTGAATAATATTTTTTTTTAATAGTAGCTAAGTAAACATTTTCTTATTGCAAATAAATATTTATTTAAAAAGAAAAGATAATACTTAAATGAAATAATGTGTGTGTTTACGTAAATATTTATTTTCAATAAGGAAATGTTTGCTTAGCTACTATTCAAGGAAATATTACTTAAACGTACGAATTTTTTTTTGTAGAAAAAAGCTGTCTGCTCATATATTACAACTGTAGACTTGCTGAATCGGTGAAGATTTTAGTTGTTTTAACAAATCTTTTTCTTCGTGATAAGATAAACAAAATGAAATAAAAAGTAAAATGTATAAAATGTACACAAAGAAATAAGAATTGGAGTAGCGCAGGTGAATAACGGAGGCGGTAAGACGGTAGCTAAATTTATCCTCACCGCTGCAGGTGACAGAAGAGCCTTTGCCTGAAGAGAGAGTGAGAAATACAGCGTCTCGTTGATCTCGAACGATCATCCCCTCTGCTTCTCTGTGAGACGAATTCTCACGCTTCGCGTTCGATATATGCATACATTGGGCGATCCTCCGGTCTCCGACTTAATAACACTCGACTGCCGCTTCGTTCGCGCGGTGTAAATTAATGCCCGCGGCTCGCGGTGTGTGTAGAGTCTGCAGAGAATCTTTCTACGCACACACACGCACGTGGAGTGTTCTCGCTGCCCCCGTTCCCCATGAAATTTTTCGCGCTGCTCGCCCACTTGCTTCACTTTCACGCGACGAGCTGCGCTACCGAATGCATCGCTTCTCTCGCGTAGGCGTCTCGCAAGAAGCGACTTTGTCTCGACAGAAGTTACGGTAGAAATGTTGCGATTCAGGATATCGAACTGGATATAATATACTGATGCAAATGCAATCGAGATTGCATTATAATTTCTACCACAGAAATTACATAAATATTTAGATATATTTATATGTAAATACTCTTCGAGATATTACGTAGAGATATTTCAGGTTTTAATTTAAATAATTTCTATCAGACATTAAATAAATACTCACGTAGAGATATTTTCAGGCTTTAACGTGGATAATCTTTTTGTGTGTGTGTATATATATGTGTATATATATATATATATATTATTTTAAGCGTAACATGTTAAACATGAAAGTCATAATTCTTCAAGGTCGCTAAGCAATGTTTCAGTGCCAGCATCGTGATTACGGAACGGCTAATGCTCTTCAAAACGCGTATTCGCTCTGCTTTTCAGTAAACGCTAACCAAGTTCGAAAGTAGTTAAGAAGATTCTAACGAGATACCGGTCGTTATGCTCGCAGTCTCAATGCGCGTACGCAACTCTCACTGCGTTTCGTTAACGATCTCCATTCCGCGACAACGTCCAGGTGGAAGCGGTGAAATGAGATTTTGCCAGTCGACGTTGTACTCACGGTTCTTATGTGCTTTCCCGCGTAAAGTATGCGCCCGGTTAATGGCTCCGCAGAGAACAGATATTGCATGGAGACGCTTGGACTCTGTGGTAAGGTGCCACGGCAGGCAATTAATTCCTCCGGTTAGACTTCCGTATCGGAAAGAGATAAACGCCAGACGCTCTTGGTCGAGAGACCTTAGGATCGTATATTACCACGCAGTTTTGCGAAATCCTTTCCCAACTGCTCGTCGCACGCCACGCTTGCAAGAATTGTAGTTTTAAAGAAGCACTCGTAGATCCTTCTTGACTTCCCTTTGACTCCGGACAAGTTGTATAATATAATACTTGGCAAAATATAATTGTCGGTACAACCAAGTTGTTACATATATAAATATAATATTATTTTTTTCCAACTGTTTACTGACTATAAATGGTAAGAATAATTTTACTGTAGTATCTAAAACTTTAGATAGATACAGATTCGAAAATAATTTTATATACATAAATAAAAGAATAGATTGCGCATTTCTAAGAAGTCGTTGCTACAAGGAGTGAGGTAGCTTCGTAAGTAACTTGAATCGTATCGAACAGAACAAAGAGAACTTTTAACAATCAAAATTATACAATAAGAAAGGATATAGTCAAGAAAGGATATAGTGGAAATTAGTACATACAAAAATTAAGTCAGATATAAAATAAATTTACTTAAGTAAAGAGCATAGTACTACATGTTTCGGCTCACTTTTGAACTCTCTTTAAAGTTATACATGTGGTATCGATTATGTGAAATAATAGATGTGTTAATGTGCCGTAAAAGTTATTGTGTAAATAATGTATCATTCACAGATAATTATGAAAGACGTGTGTAAAGGACATCTTTGTTTCCTAAAGATTAGGTCAGGCAAACAAACCCTTATTAACCTGGATCCATCAGCGCAAATCGAGTTGGGACATGGCAAAAATTTAATGCTATTTTGTCGCTAATTTGTTGCTCTAAGGCGAATTTGGTTGATTCAATCGTTTAGCAGCAAAAAAACAAAGAAAATGAGAGGTCCAAGTTAATGGCAAGCTGGACTCCCCTATAATGAAAAATTATATATAGAGCTGCGATATAAA